AGGCGAGGGGGAGCCCCCATCCCGCGCACCAGCCTTCACACCGCCCTTCCTCTGGGGGAAAGGGAAGCGCTCCGGGCCTGGGGCCAGCCATACCACAATCCGTGTCCTTACCTGGGATAGGTGGTGTCGGAGGATGCAGAGGAGTGGGGGAATCCGGCTCTCCGGGCCCTTTGGGTTTCGGGGCTGGAATGATTTTCTTCATGAGAGGAGGCTGTTCAGTGCGGTTGTTCTCTTCCCGCTCCTGCCACTGAGCGTAGTTATGGTCAAGCGAGGGGGGCAGCACCGCGTTCGGCAACATACCGCTGCTGCAATGACACCGGAGTCAGCTCCCGCGCCCGCCTACGGCACCGCGCCGAGCGCCCGACCACCCTCCTGGCATTCCGCAGGCAAATCCATCCCCTAATTACAGTCCACGCGCTCCAACAGGGGCCACGACCCATCGCTCAGGCTATGAGGAGGGGGGAGGAGGGCCCCGGCTGACAAGACAACCCATGACACGCCCAGTTCTAAACAGCGGTTTTGGCTATACGGCTTTAGAACAAGGAAGGGTACCCAAAACCTGGGAATGGGATTGCTGTCGGACCTCTAACAAAGGAAGAAGAGGAAAGAAACCGGAAGCCCCAACCCTGCCAACAGGCTGCCCCCATGCTTTTTGCCTGGCCAGCTGGCGAAGCGCGGGCTGGCGCAGTTGGACACCCAACAATCACTTACTTGCTCGTTACTTTATTTGGCTCCCAAAACCTGGACTTTTTTACACTGAACCATGGAAAAACGCGCTCCATTTGCTGAAGGGAAACAACATTCCATTAGCAACGTTGCACAACGCACCCCGCAACGCAGAGACGTCAGCCCAGGCCTGCTGTCAACGCACAACTGCTAACATTCCATCAGCATCAATGGATAACATTATCCCAAGCAATGCTAACTGACGGACCCTTTGGATCCCAACGGCAACAAGCAGAGGAATGACACCGAGCCCCTTCCCAAGTAACTGCAGTGCCGCTCACCCGAATAAAGAAGGACTTGACCATGCTATTGGCTTTCTTGACTTCCGGCTGCCCTCCGTCGGAATTGATGGCTGCCTGGATGATCTTCACAATATCATCGCTGAAGTCCAGCTGTAAGACAGTTTCCTGTTACCAGGACCGTCCCTCGTACAGCCACACCAACCACCAAGTTTTTAAGGCGGGAAGCGAGCAGCCAAGGCCCAGCCGGAACGTCGGCTTCGAAGCAGAGCGCGGCTGTCTGGAAAGCAGCAGCCCTGCGCAGCGGCACGCTGCCTGGCAGAACTGCCGGCCCTGTCGCTGTTCACCCCCGCCTTCTCCCAGGAGCTGAGCGGTGTTACATCGCCTCAGCCACGCCACCTCACAAGGCTTTGGCCAAACTCCGGCTCAGCTCAGCCCTTCACACATGAGCTGCTGTTGCAGGGACCCGGCTACTGCCTGGGTGGTGTGGCCAGGCCTCCAGCCCGCTGCTCCCGAAGGGTGACCTGCCCCGTGTCCATCAACGCCACCGCCTGAGAGCCGAAGGGGTTCAGCCGACAACGGCGGCTGGTCAGCGCCGCACGCCGGAGCGATGGACGGGGCTTTGGCCAACACCGAGACGAGCGCCGGCCAGAGTTATTTTTAGCAGCACGTTACTATCAGTTACTTTTAGCAGCACCTGCTTCCTTGTTGGCAAAGAAAGGGCTCAGCTATCAACACCGCCGGCACAAAGCCACCCGCAGTCTGTCAGCAGGGCGGCACGCCGAAACCTCAACGTACCACAGAGGTGTAACCCCCTTGATCCATTTTCCTTTTCACCCCTTCCAGATCCAGGGGCTGCTGCTCCTCCTGTTTGCTGACTTCCGTGAGAACCGGCGGATCGGGGCCTTCAGGAGAGCTTCTGGATGGGATACTCTCTTCTGTCTCGGGATTTAAATCCGGTGGTTTTGCTGCCTGTGAACGCCAGCGACCAGAGAGAGGGATATGGGCTGTTGAAGCACGGCTGCTGCTCGTGACATACTCCCACGCACGGTTACGGGGACAGAAACTCGCGCTAACGTGAAAAAACGGAGGCTTGAGTTCTGAATTCCCAACTAAAATGTGGGAACAACACCCAGGAGACCTCAACCCAGCTTCTTGGCTGTCCACCGGTGCAGAGCTGTCAGCTACGGGCATCCAGCTCCTCTGTCAGGACTCTTACTCCCGAATTTTCTGTATTTCAAGGCTAAGATCCCGTTCAGGCAAAAAAGCACCTTCGCCATCCCAGAGCTACGCACTCCCACCCTTGGAAGAACTTTACCCCGTTTTTCCCTTTTAGCCTCCCGAGTGGTACCACTGGCTCCCGCCGCTTCCTTCCCAGAGGCACGGACGGCTGCGCGGCCCCGGCTCACCTGTCGGTACCGCAGGAGGTGGCTAGTGGTCCTGGAATTCAGCAGGGCTGTTAAAACCTGCCGTAAGGAGACCTGCAGCTCCTTCTCCAGCGCCAGGCGCCACTCGGCGGGGTGCTGCTCCGTGCAGTTAATGCAGGTGTACGCCACGCTCTCGGGCAAGTTGGAGAGGATCTCATACATTTCATCTGGAGACAAAAAAGAAACACCAAACAACACAATCTGAACTACTTTACTGACGGATGGACGGCGGGAACACCCCCTGCGCTGCGCTTCCCATCTCCCTCCAGCACTTCCCATACACCGAAAGCCCCCTGTGCACCACGCCGCCTCCGAGGCCAGCCCTAAGTTGCCGGGATGTTGAGCACCGCTGTGCCCGCAGCCCTCCCACGGGCGTTCTCCAGGCAGGTCACAGCCGGCGCGGGTGTCAGCGTAACACCCGAGCACAAAGGTCCCGACCCGGATTGCTCTGCTCTACTCGTGGCCCCGCGTTCCTAAGGACGGAGGAGACAAGGATTCGCCTTACCGGAAAGGTTTTCGCACTTGGAGTGGACCCAGCGGTCGCATTTCCCGCACTGCATCATCTTACTCTCGTAGTCGTCGTCATCGTAGCACTTGTCGCAGAGAGGACAAAAGTTTCCTGCGGACGGGACGTGGGTTTTAGTGGGGGTGCAGGGGCCGCGCGGCCCGTGAAGGTGGGGTGGTCCCGCTAAGCTGCCCGGGCAGAACCACCCCCTGCAGGAGCGACTACCAGGCACCGGCTTTGGGGGTGGCGAGACTGACGGAGGTTTGCATCCCATTAGCTTTCCAGATGGATTAGCTCTCCAGCTTGTCCAGGAGGGACCGGGATGCCACACAGGCAAGACATTAGGTGGAACAAGGAAGATTTTCTGCCTGGAGATTTTCCCCAGAGAGCCCCTCAGATCCAGAGGCTTCACGCACTGTAACCCCCAAAGCAGGAACGATCACATTACACATGGAATTCTGCTCCTTCTAAGTCAGGATGCCTCCAAAGCGCCTTTTTCCCAACGGCTGCTTGAAACCCCGGCCAAGGGATGTGTAATCATTTCCCACGGCACCGTGCCTGTCCTGGAAGCCCCAAGCTCTGACAGCAACACAGGGCTGCAGAGTCTAGGAACCCGGCTTTCTCACGGGAGCCAAACCACGTGCTGCCCCGCGCAGCCCCGGCACCAGCTCCCGCTCCAGCTTGTGCCGGAGTCGCCTCCCTGCTCACGCTACACCGAACCCAGCACCGGCAGAGTCTCCTGCCGGGGAGAATCACAACGACGGGTACCTTTAGCGAAGAGTTTGGCACAGTCGTGGCACAGCGAGAAGTCGTGAGACCACTGCGCGTCCCAGCCCTTGCCCGGCGTGGTGGAGCCGCAGCTCTTGCAGCGGACACATTTGGTACATATCTGGAAAAGGAACGCGTTTGGCAAGAGTTATTGGCCTTTATCCGGTGGTTTCCGCTCCGCAGGCCCAAGGTTGTGTTATTTAATGAGCGCAGAGAGCTTTTTTTTTTTCAGACACCAAAACTTCCCCTACAAGGAAAAGGGCGCCTCCCTCTAGGCCAAGATGGTGAAAATGCATCAAGGAGAGAGAATTGCCACAACTAAGGAAGGTGCAATCCCTTCACTAATGTCGCATGTTCAGAACCTCATCCACAACCCACCTCCTCATCCGCTTCCAAAGGCGCCTGCCAACGCAACAGGCGCCCTTCCTTGCCTTAGGAAGCTGAGCGACCGCGTCGGAGCGAGCAGTCCGCAGAGCCCGCAGCGGGACATCGGTCAACAGGGGAATTACCCGGAGGAGAAACCAAAAACCCTCACCCAAACTTTCTTCTTCTTGGTGGGTTTCGTCGGGTAGTTGGGGCCCAGGCACTCGGGG